GCCTTGGGCTCCATTCCTCAGCATCACATAAGCAGAAAAAGCTGGAAGTGGTGCCTTTGACTCAAGTGGTAGAGCGCTAGCCTTGAGCTGAAGAGCTGAGGGACAACGCCGAGGCCCAGAGTTCAGGCCCCACGACTGACCAAAAAAAGAAGAAAAAGAAAAAAGAAAAATAGACTCTTTGCCTCTATTTTTGGTAAACAACTGCATGGTAAACTTAGATAATTTTTCCCTGGAAGTAGCCTTTTAGTATTTTATTTAAAATAGGGCAGGTCCGGAGCTTTTATACTGATGTCACCAATATTATTATTTTCTGGGATGTCAGGAAATCATATTCTTTACAACTGACACAATGTAGGCTAGAGCTTTGATAAGCCAGCCTCAGACTTCTCTAGTTTGCATTTATTTGTATAACAATCTCATTTATGTTGGTCCCTAAACTCCCCCCCACCCAGCAGATTTCCATGAAAATTATTGTAAACTTTGTTCCCATGGAACATTCAGTCTTGTTCAACAAAGATTTTTCAAAACATTTGTGTAATGTTTCTACAAATACTTGAATGTGACCTAAAATGCCAAGTTTACTTTCTGAAAAAATCAACATAGGAGACAAATATAGTGTTGCTTTATGGCTACAATTCAGTTTGTTGTTAGATCCTCCAGCTCAAGATTGATGATTAAAATCCTTTTTCTGGCCAGGTGCCAGTGGCTCCCCCCTGTAATCCTAGCTACTCAGGAGGCTGAGATCTGAGGATTGAGGTTTCAAGCCCGTCTGGGCAGGGAAGTCCATGAAACTCTTGTTTGCAATTAACCACCAGAAAGACAGAAGTGTTATTTTGGCCCCAAGTAATAGAGTGCTCACCTTGAGCAAAAAAAGTTCAGTGACAGCTCCCAGGCCGTGAGTTCAAGTCCCATGACTGACAAAACTTGTTCCTTCTTCTAGGAAAAGCAAACATTTTCATCTCTCTTTATACTAAATAGAAATCTCCTTAAAGCTAAGGATTCCCTTTACATGGCAGGGCCAGGACTAGGATTTCACTGGCAAAATTCCCCTCAGTTGCAGCTTCTTAAAATCCATTGTGGACAAGGTTTGATGTGGACAAATTAGAAGAAAATATTCTCTTTGAAATGTTGGACTGTCCTTTTCATCTGCATTTCTGGACTGAGAGATGGGTAATACTAAAAGTTGCAAGTGATTTCTGGACAAATTTATTCAGAAATCAATGTAGGTTCTTAGTTATATTTCATAGGTGTATATTTAAAGGCTATTAGAACAATACTTTAAAAATAATAGCTTGTTTTTTCTGACACAGCTTGACATATTTATCCTTATTAGCTTATGACAACAAGTAAAGATTGGATTACAGGGTAAGACACTTGTGATTTGTTTTCCTCCTCTTACATGGTTTAGATTCTGCCTTTATTAATCTGGCTTTTTATTCTTTTTAGTTGTTGTTGCTATAACAGCATGCTTGAAATAGGATAACTTTATAGACAAAAGAGGCTTATTCAGCTTAAGTTTTGGCTGCAAAGAGTCCAAACTGCGTGGTGCAGGCTCTGGTGTCTTGTGGACTGTATTATCTCATGTAGCTGACAGTGTTGGGAGGGAGTGTGTATAGACATCACATTGCAAAACAGGAAGCCAGGGAGAGACTAAAACTCTATAATCCCTTCCATGGGCACATGTCCAATTAACCTAAGGCCCTCTTGGTAGACACTGTCTCCTGACACTGTTGTAATGAGGACAAACTTCCAAGACATGCCTCTTTGGGGGGACCTAGGTAAGCCATGTGGAAACTATAGCACTGCCTGACTCCACTGTATCATTAAGAAACAAGGCTGAGCTGCGCAATTCACAGCCGATTGCAGTCTTGTTCTGAGCTCCCCAATGCTGACATATCCCTTGTGGTTCAGGAGGAAAAATATATACTATCTGTCTAGGACCCTGAGCTTTGTACATATCTCAGTGCCAGGATGCTTTCTTTCTCTCTTTCCCTTTCCCTCTCTCCCTCTCCCTCTCTCCCACTTCCTTTCTCTCTCCCTCCTCCTTTCTCTCTCCCTCCCTCCCCTTCTTTTTTGCTTCTTCCCATCTTATTTTTTTCATGAAGACATGGATATTGCAAATGAGTATGTTGCTATTGAAAGGGTTTGAGTAATATATCCTGTTGTCCAAATGTCATATTCAATCCATTGATTTATTACTTGCAGTACCTTGTCACTTGGGGAGGTGGTGTGGGATAGTAGTACTTATACTGCATTTCAGGCAATTTCCATTCATCCCATTGTCTCCTTGTTGGAACTACTGTCTGATTTCATGAAGTCATCAGGCAAGTTTGGACCTCTTCCCTTAGAGCCTCAAGTTCTATTGCTTGGTACTGTTTGCTGGATATCTTGCCTTGATGTTTCTAATCTCTTTGAAGACAGACGGCACTTCTTGTATTCTCCTCCTCCTTGTACGTTGTTGCTCGAGGTCAGGAACACAAGAAGTACCTTAGGAATCTCTAGATAAAATGAATGGGTGTAAATCCATGTGCATGTAGGCACCAGCTCTTCCTCCTGACAGGCAAGTCTACTCAGAAGAAAGATGTGTGATCCTCTGGTTTAAAAGTTGACTGCATAGTGGAGTTTCTTGTTGTGTGGTTCTAAAGTAATTTTAGAACACGTAATCATGTACAGCTACCATTTAAAGATATCTTTTGTTCAGGACTCTAAATAAATTTCATAATCCCAAACAGTTCAATATTAAGTCGAAACCTCTTTCTTTGTACGACTTCCTAAAGGTAGGAAAAAATTTAAAAAAGGAACATGTTCTTAGCAACACATTCTATTTTATCTCAGTATCTTTGGACCTAGGATATGGACTTCATATCTTTAGAGAGTATTTTTTTGGCACAAATGCAGCATCTTAACCTGAGTCTAGCAAACACAGAGTGAATGTTTTCACCTGCAGATGATTTTCAGAGCATTATCATGTTACTTTGTCACTAGGCACAAACTTGGCTCCCAGGTGGTTAGGATCCACAGTTAGAAGATTAGATCTGGGGGGCTGGGAAGGTAGCTCAGTGGTAGAGAGCTTGCCTTGCATGCTCAAGGCCCTGGGTTCGATTCCTCAGCACCACATAAGCAAAAAGAAAAAAGCCGGAAGTGGCGCTGTGGCTCAAGTGGTAGAGCACTAGCCTTGAGCTGAAGAGCTGAGGGACAGTGCCCAGGCCCAGAGTTCAGGCCCCACGACCGGACCTAAAAAAAAAAAAAAAAAAAAAAGAAGAAGATTAGATCTGGGAAGACCCAAGGCTTATTTGATGTAGCTGTGAGGTCCCTATGGATTAGAGGCTGAGCAAAATAGTCTTCAATGTCTGGAAATATCTAGGCTTGATCACATTCTTAATATCATGTTTTAAAAATTTTCAGTGAAAGAAAAACCTTCAGGCTGGGAATGTAGTGTAGTGGTAGAGTGCTTACCTAGCATGCATGAAGCAGAAAAAGCAGAAGTGGTGCTGTGGCTCAAGTGGTAGTGCTAACCTTGAGCAAAAGAAGCTCAGGGACAATGCCCAGGCCCTGAGTTCAAACCCCAGGACTGGCAAGCTTTAATTTACTATAATGATTTGATGAGAAATATCTGACTTAAGATAACCTTGTACTTTTTCTTTGAGTAGTGATTTATATTTAGAGCGTTGTGTTTCATTGATGTGCATAGAAGACAAAAATGGCATTTTTTGTTGCTTTGATGATTACAGTATGATATTATAATTCAGCTCTTCTTGGTTTTCTATATATAGATTTCATGAATTATTTTCGGCTCATTCATTTTTAAGTTTAAGTGTGGCTTTTTCTGCCATGTCCTGTGTTGTTTTCTTGACAGTAGGCTTGTGGAATCGATTCTCTAACTTATGATTTGGGTGTTCGCCTCGAATGAGAATGTCTTTCAGAAGTCTGGGTTGGTCTTAAACTTGGTGCTTCCTGGAACCTGTCTCACCTCCTGCTCTATCTTAATGGCTTCATCATCCCAAGCAAGACAAGGCAGGATCATGTGGTTTCATGGATAATGTAGAAATGAGAGAATGGGCTTGTGATCATCCATGGGGTAAAAGATCTCAGCAATGGAGATTGGAGAAAAGAAACACCAGCTTGGCCAAGGCACAATGTTTGGATAGAGATGTGGCTAGATTTAGCAAAGGAATGAATACCAGAGCAGCTCTTTTCTTTGGGGCTTTCAAGGGTGTTTAAGAAATCTGGCATGATTTCACACATCCAATCTTCCTTCCCAAGGTTCTTTCTTTGGCCCATTTCCTAAATATTCTGCAAACATATCATGTCTCTTTTTATGGAACTTCTGATGCATACTGTGAAATTGCATACTTCCTTCACTATGAGCATCTTTGTAATCCTTGTTGTCTTCTTTGTGTTTTATCTTTCCTCCTCACCTATGATGTAACCTTCGTGAAGAGGGAAACATGGCTTATGTTTCTTTTCTATCTTATGAAATATCCCCACTCAGCAATGGACATAAAGAAACTAGGCACTAACTGATTACACTTTTATTGGTAACTTTAGTTTTGGTGAGCTAAGCTGTTGGTTGAGGTGTTAGGGACATTTTACTTATAGCATCATTCTGGTCTCCTGTAAGATTGTTAAACTGCCCACATGCAAAATGACTCTAGACTTTTTTGGAGAAGGTTCCAGATAAATAACAAATTAACATGAGTAATTTAATGATTCCTCTAGATCATAACTGATTGGCTTGTTCCTAGATAAAAATATTGACTTTCTTAGAAATATTCAGGAATAGTTTTGTTAATTGCAAAATTCAGTTTATTGAAGCATGGAAAAAGTTAGTGCATAGTGTCATTTTTTTTTTACTTTTGGGGGAGCAATATAATAAGGAAACAAGAAGATGCAGAGAAATTGGCTGCTGGCCATTTCTTGACTGAAGCTTTCCTCTGGAGCTCTCTAGAAAGATGACCAGATCACTTACTGAAAGACACTTTTGTCATCTAGAAAATTGCTTATTTTATTTTCACCTCTGAGATATTGCTGACTTGAGACGAGACAACTTTGCCATCCACCACCTCCTCGATGATGGTCTTAGTCACTCTTGTCTTGCTGGGATCTGAAAAATCATGAGACCGCAATGTCAGTCTGGAAACACTGCTGTGAATAATTCAACTATTTTAATAGAGTATGCTATATCTGGGTAAGATTATACAAACAATTGTAGATAGTTTAAAATGGTGAGAAAATGCTTGCCTTTGACTTTAAAGTTACAAAATAATAATCAACATTAAAAATAGCTCTACCTCTTCCTTGACCAGAAGAGCTTTCAGATCTTGACTCCTTAGGTCTCATGTTTCTGAATCCTCCAAAACCAGAACCACTGGGAAAAAGAATTATATTTTCTTTTGTAGTTACAAAGGTAGCAGAAACTCTCTGTACCAACACTTCAGTTTTGGATGACTTTTTTTTTTTTTTTTTTTTTTGGTGTGGTGTATGTGTGTGTACACACATGGGTATGCAATACTAGCCTGGCACTCTATACAGCCTAAACACTATCTCTTAGTGTTTTTGCTCACAGCTGGTACTCAACCACTTGAACCATACCTCCACTTCTGGCTTTTTTGCTAGTTAATTGGAGATAAGAGTCTAAAGGGCTTTCCAGCCTGGGCTGGCTTTGAACTGCGATTCTTAGATCTCAGATACCTGAGTAGAGAGAATTACAAGCATAAACCACTACCACTCAGAATTTTATTTTTTTGAGTTTCTCATTATGTAGCCTTTGAACTTGAGATTCTCCTGCCTCTTCCTCCTAAGTTGGAATTACACGTATTTGTCCCTCTTCCCCTATCTTGGATGTCTTTGGACTGTATTTGCCTGTGATTTTATTATTTCATAAGTATACATCCAACCCCTGCATCCTTTAGGGGTTTGATCAAATCAGTTCAGCAAGGTATACATGTCAGCATGATCCTGGCTTTCATTTACCCTCCCTCTCCATCAAGGAGGCGGCGGTAGGTCTCGATCTCCATCTCTAGGCGGGTCTTGATGTCCAGCAGTTGCTCATATTCTGCGTTCTGGCATTCGGTCTCACCCCGGATCTGGCAGATCTGCTCCTCTAGGCTGTTGATCAGCATCTGAGTTTTTGACAGCTGAGCTGCATAGCCAGCTTCTGTGTTGGCCAGGTTCCCTTCCAGGGAACTTTTCTAAGGGGAAAAGGCAAGTGAAGAAATCATGATGAAAATAAATCAATGGATAAGAAAAATATAATTTCACATGGGACTCAAAGTATACCTAGTACTAATCTACATCATTTTATCATTGCTTCTTCAATTTTTGTTGACATTAAGTTTACATTGTGTATGTGTGTGTGTGTGTGTGTGTGTGTGTGTATGTGTGTGTGTGTGCGCGCACGCGCGCGAGTAGATACTGGGGCTTGAACTCAGGTCTGGGTTCTGTCCCTTAGCTTTTTTTAAAGTCTGGATTAGCACTCTATCACTTGAGCCACAGCTCCAGTTCCGGCTTTTTCCTGGTAAATTGGAGATAAAAGTCTCATGGACTTACCTGCCTCGGCTGGTTTTGAACCTAGATCCTCAGATTTCAGTCTCCTGAGTAGCTAGGATTATAGGTATGAGCTACTGGAGCTGGTTAAATCTTTAATTGAATTAATATAATTTATCTTGAACTGCTTTATGCTTTCTAGAACCACGGCTTAATTCTTCTTAGCATTGCTTTAATTTCATGCCTAGTGAGCATCTTGCAGAGAAAGAAAAAAAAAAAACATTTGCTTAACTCCCTGCTAGAGGTTTTTGGAAAGCTCTTCATGCATACCATGGCCAGTTGAGACTGAAGTTCAATTTCCAGGGCTTGCATTGTACGTTTCAGTTCTGTTATCTCATTCTTGGCAGAGTTGGCTGCTCCAGCATCAACAGAGATCTGGGATTGCAGAGATGCGCTCTGAGAGAAAAAAAAAGTAACCGTTGTTACAGGCAACTGAAACGAGCAGACATGGCTGATGTGTGGCTGCAGATTAGATGCTCAACACAAATATTGACCTGCTTGTTGAACTGTTCCTCAATTTCCTGGCGGTTTTTCTCAGCCAGCTCCTCATACTGTGCCCTCATATCATTCAGTAACTTGGTCAGATCTGTCCCAGGAGCTGCATTCATTTCTACTGTCACGTCTCCACTGGAGCTTCCCTGCAAGCTCTTCATTTCCTAGCATGAAGGGGAAAAGGTCACAGACATGCAAATAGAAAAGCCACATTTCCTAAAATGTGTATAGCTCTAAATTGTTGACAGCCGGGCAGTCAAGGGGAAAAAAATAAGTTCAGCCATAATGTGTTCATTGTAATCCTATTCTGCTCAGTGGATGTGGGCAGTCCATTTGAATACAATCAAGTTTGGTTTTCTAGACTGGATGTGAGGGAAACATGGAAGCCAGAGTTGTTCATTCATGTGTAGTTGTTCTACCTCCTCATGGTTCTTCCTCAGGTAGGCCAGCTCCTCGGTGAGGCTCTCGAATTGCATCTCCAGGTCAGAGCGAGTCATGGTCAGTTCATCCAGGACTTTCCGTAGGCCGTTGATGTCAGCTTCCACGCTCTGCCGGAGGAACAGCTCATTCTCGTACCTGGAAGGGGCAGTGACAAGTAGGACAGTGATCTGGCCTGACACATTTCAACCTTCCCCTTCTGTCATGTCCAAGAATTTTGGCAAATAAGGCTTTTGAACTTTTCTCTGATCATCCCCACTCTCATCCTGGCAGAAAAATAGATATCTAGTGAAATCCAATCGTGTCTACTAATTTTAGAACAAAATTATCATTTAATTAATTTATTAACTTTATTTACTTAAACATTTATTTACTTAAAAATAATCTTTAGGTAGTTGTACAAAGAGGATTCAATTCCACATGTCTGTTGATGATTATATTGCATCCTGATTAATGGCAACCCCCTCCCCCTTTTTTTTTGTTAGTCATTGGGCTTGAACTCAGGGCCTAGGCACTGTCCCTGAGCTCTTTTTCTCAAGGCTAGTGCTTTACCACTTTGAGCCAATGCTCCACTTCTGCTTTTCTGGTGGTTAATTGGAGATAAGATTCTCACAGACTTTCCTGCCTGGGCTAGCTTTGAACTGCAATCCTCAGATCTCAGCCACCTAAGTAGCTAAGGATTACAGGCGTGAGCCACCAGTGCCTGGCACCCTTCTTTTTCATACTGTACTCTTTGGAAAGACATATAACAGTTATATAACCATATATAATCTGTACTTAAAGAATAGGAATTTACACTGCATCTCCGTAAGTGTGGAGTAGCTACCAAAATTATCTTACCCATCTATTTTTATCTGTCCCACTAGGTTTCTCCCCATACAGTCTGAAACATTGAAGACTGGACTAAGTAAACTAAGAGTTTATTAGGGTAGTTGTTACATATAAAAACATTGTAATGGAAGATAACGTTTCTTTGTAAGTGTGTGTGTGTGTGTGTGTGTGTGTGTGTGCCAGTCCAGTCCTGGGGCTGGAACTCAGGGCTTGGTGCTGCCTCTGAGCTTTTTTGCTCAAGGCTAGTACTCTACCACTTGGGCCACAGCTCCACTTTTAGCTTTTTGGTGGTTAATTGGGGATAAGAATCTCACAGACTTTCCTGCCTGGGCTGGTTTTTAACTGTGATCCTCAGATCTCATCCTCATGAGTAGCTAGGATTACAGGCGTGAGCCACCAGCGCCCAACTTTGTCACCCCTTCTATCATTTTCTCCCCAGAGTTCCTAACCTCACCCATCCCCTCAAGTTACCTGGTTTCATTTTCACATGTGTACACTGACTAAATATTATGACTGTATCCATCTGCCCTTCATCTCTCCACTTGCCTGCCCCTCCTCTTGTACTTCTTTTTCTTCTCCCCCACCTTGGGATATTTGTGAATTTAGGTCATAATCCTCAATTTTTTCCCCCCTGGAAAATGAATTTTATTTTTATTATGACCCTTGTTTCCAAAATCTTTTCTTACTTGAGTCTGAAGTCATCAGCAGCCAGTCTGGAATTGTCAATCTGCAAAATGATCCCTGCGTTTTCAACAGTGGCAGCAATGATCTAGAAAAGGTGATAAGAATGAATAAATCACAGATGATGTTTGCCTCTTGTTTGCAGGCCTACCTGTGTGGGTTGCTGTCTTAAGGAGCTGCTCTTAAAGGCAAACACATATGTAACCATTCTTAGTAATGATGCCTGTATATTTAGGACTGCATCTTTCTGCAAAAAGGTAATTTCTATATTTACTGGAACAGGCACAGAGAACATTGTTTAATAGAACATAACCATCTGTGTATTTCTGCTGTTTGGAAGAAATCAGTTAATCCTCAATCCATGAGCTCTTTCCAAAAATGGTGCAAAATTGAATTTTGCTTTAGAAAAGCCTTTAAAATTAGAGATACTGCATTATTATATAGTACTTGCAGCAGACTTTTCTAGGAAGAGGATTTGACTCTATAATGACACTAAAATGGTTCACTCTATCTGAATGAATAATGAAATCATTAGAGGAATCATTGAGTTATTGCCATAGTTCATACATATACACATACACACATACAATGCATGCACACACACTTGTTTGAAGTCTGTCATTGTATTCACTTCACTCTTCTGTAGAAATATTCATATTTGAGAAGCAACATAGAAAATCAATGCAGATGGATGTCATGTCCAGTATTGTCATAACTAAGACATACCAGAAACCATTTTGCATGTACAACAAGCAATTCCTTGACTTAAATTCATTAGGTAAGTGTAAGACACATCACAGCCCTGGATAGTATCCCACCTGGTTCTTGAGGTCTTCAATTACTGAGTAGTATTTGCTGTAATCTCGTCTAGATCCACCGTCTCTAGACCCATTCTTATCATACCACTCCTTGATTTTATTCTCCAGATCAGTGTTGGCCTCTTCCAGAGCCCGGACCTTGTCTAGGTAGTTAGCCAGGCGATCATTGAGGTTCTGCATGGTTTGCTTTTCACTTCCAGAGAAAAGTCCCCCATCGCTAATATCACTGTCACCAAAGCTACCTCCTAAACCATAGCCACAGCCATAGAAGCCTCCACTGGCACCACTACCAAATCCAGAACTGCCACCAAATCCAGAGCCCCAGCCAAAGCCAGCTCTGGAGCCCGAGGCTGCTCCAATACCACCTCTTACTGAGCAGCTACTAAAGCCCCCTCCAATGCCCCCGCTAGACCCCCCACTCAGGCCCCAGCTGCTGGCAGAGCCACTCCCCAGACCACATCTGCTTCCACTGCTGAGGCTGTTTCCACCAGCAGACACCCTGTAGCCCCCAGCCCTGGAGGAGGAGATGCGAGCCGAGCAAGACATGCTGCTGCAAACCCTTAGCTTGTCAGGTGACTGGGAGGGGTGCAGTGGTGAGCCTGTGGCAGATTGTCTCTTCTTTTGGTCTTATATACTCACGTTTAGGGTGTTGCTTTTCCCTGTAACTTCTTAATCCCTGTTACAGTTTTGTTAATCCCTAATTGGATAATGTCTTTTCCATGAACCCACTCTACTGGTTCCTTTTTTTTTTTTATTTCTAAGGCTGGGTGAGAGAAAAATAAATAAGGTGGAGCAAATAAAAAATATTTCAGAATTACAGTTTTAATCTTTTAAAGTGGTTGATGACTGTTCTTTTCTGAAAGGACAATTCTATTAAATTTGCTTCATGATTTCCCAATGGCAAGGAACATCCCTAGATTACTGCATGTAATTAAAATACTTAGTGTGATCAGAAGAACATTTCCCAACATGTAACTTTTTGTCTGTAGTGTTTTCAAATGTTGAAATTGGCTTCAAGCATCCTTTTCTCTATTTCCAACAGCCTGTTGTTGTTTTTGTTTTTGAGGCTGTTGAACTTTGTGCTATTAAGTTATTGTCTTCTTTTGTATATTGAGATGAATGGAAATGTTCTTACTGATAATATTGAAAAACTTAAAAGAGAAAATGTTTTTTTTTGCATGTAAGCATGGACTGCTTGTTCAAGCAGATAAGGGATCAGAAAGAACAGAATTTTCAGGCCGATTTTCTCACAGCAGAGCAGAGCATGGTTATAACTAGAGAGATGACTCTAACACATTTTCCTTGAGTTCTAGTCTGGAAAATGAGAATGCCACCTTTAGAGTAGAATTTTGTGTCAATTTCTTCTGTCTTTGTTTTGAAGATACTTGCAAGAAAAGGATCTGAACCACTTTTAATCATCTATGAGTAATTTTACAGATGTCAAAATCTGTGTGTGTGTGTGTGTATGTGTATGTGTGTATTCATGTGCTGGTATCAGGGCATGAACTCAGGGCCTGGTGCTGTACCTGATTTCTTTTGCCCAAGGCTGATGCTCTATCATTTGGACCACAGCTCCACTTCTGGCTTTTTGGTGGGCAAATGAGATAAAAGTTTGTGGAATTGTCTGCCTGGGCTGGCTTCAAACTACAATCCTCAAATCTTGGCCTCCTGAGTAGCTAAGATTACAAGTGTGAGCCACAAGTTATTGGCTCTCCTTAGCTTTATACTCAAGTAGTTGTTTTGTTTACTTATACTTTCTCGCCAAACACCCGTGGCTCACACCTAGCTACTCAGCAGGCTAAGATCTAAGAATTTCAGTTCAAAGCTAGCCTGCTGCTGACAAATCTGAAAGACTCTTATCTCCAACTAACCTTCAAATGCTCTGAAAGTGAGAATGGCTCAAGTGGTAGAGTGCCAGCCATGAGCAAAAAAGCTGAGCTCAAGCTTGAAGACTAGAGTTCAAGCCCCAGTACCAGCACCCACCTCCTAAAAAAGCTCCACATAAATAAATAAGTAAGTAAGTAAATAAATAAATGAAAATTTCCTTTAGCTGGTCACCAATGGCTCACACCTATAATGCTAGCTTCTCAGAAGGCTGAGATCTGAGAATCTCTCTTGGACACTAGCCCAGGCAGAAAAGTACTGTGAGACTCTTATCTTGGGCTGGGAAGGTGGTTCAGTGGTAGAGCGCTTGCCTTGCATACATGAGGCCCTGGGTTCGATTCCTCAGCACCACATAAGTAAAAAGAAAAAAGCCAGAAGTGGCACTGTGGCTCAAGTGGTAGAGCGCTAGCCTTGAGCTGAAGAGCTGAGGGACAGTGCCTAGGCCCAGGCCCAGAGTTCAGGCCCCACGACTGGACCCCCCCCCAAAAAAAAGAAAAACAAAAGAGACTCTTATCTCCAGTTAACCACTCAAAAATCAGAAGTGTAGCAGTAGCTCAAAGTGGTAGAGCACTAGCCTTGAGCAAAAGAGCTCTGCGGCAGCACCCAGGCCCTGAATTCAAGCCTCACAATGGATAAAAAACAAAACAATATAAAACTTTCTTTATTATATTGTATTCTTCATTTAAGTAACTGCTTGATTTAATCTTTATATTCAATCATTTGTTATCCAATTTTTTGACCTCTCTTAATTTTTCCTTAAACTACTTTTATTTGGACACATTTTGGGTGGCATTATAAAAAAAGAGGTGTTAAGCCGGGCGCTGGTGGCTCACGCCTGTAATCCTAGCTACTCAGGAGGCTGAGATCTGAGGATCGCGGTTCAAAGCCAGCCCGGGCAGGAGAGACCCTGAGACTCTTATCTCCAATAAACCACCAGAAAACCGGAAGTGGCGCTGTAGCTCAAGTGGTAGAGCGCTCGCCTTGAGCTGAAGAGCTGAGGGACAGCGCCCAGGCCCAGAGTTCAAGCCCCACGACCGACAAAAAAAAAAAAAAAAAAAAAAGAGGTGTTGATTCCTTTTACCACATAGTTCTTTATTAACTTTTATTTATTTATTTATTTTTTTGGTCATGGGGCTTGAACTCTGGGTCTGGGCACTGTCCCTCAGCTCTTCAGCTCAAGGCTAGCACTCTACCACTTGAGTCACACAGCACCACTTCCAGTTTTCTGAGTGGTTTATTGGAGATAAGAGTCTCATGGACTTGGGGCTGGGAAGGTGGCTCAGTGGTAGAATGCTTGCCTTGCATGCATGAGGCCCTGGGTTTGATTCCTCAGCACCACATAAGCAGAAAAAGCCAGAAGTGGTACTGTGGCTCAAGTGGTAGAGTGCTAGCCTTGAGCTGAAGAGCTGAGGGACAGTGCCCAGGCCCAGAGTTCAAGCCCCACAACCCGTGAAAAAACAAAACAAAAACAAAAAAACAAAGAAAAACTCAAAAAAAAAAGAAGAGTCTCATGGACTTTCCTGCCTGGGCTGGCTTTGAACCACGATCCTCAGCCTCCTGAATAGCTAGGATTAAGGAGTGAGCCACTTGTGCCCAGCAGTTTACTAACTTTTTTACTTTACATGCACTTTTATAGGAGTGTGATGTTATTCCACTTGTTATTTAGAGTCCTAGCTCTCCACAGGACACTCAAATAAAACTGTTAAGCTAGAAATGATTCTTTTTTTTTTTTTTTGGTCAGTCGTGGGACCTGAACTCTGGGCCTGGGCGCTGTCCCGCTAGTGCTCTACCACTTGAGCCATAGCACCACTTCTGGCTTTTTCTGCTTATGTGGTGCTGAGGACTCGAACCCAGGTCCTCATGCATGAGAGGCAAGTACTCTTCCACTGAGCCACCTTCCCAGCTCTAGGAATGATTCTTAAACATCTTTTCTGATTTGTTGGTCATTACACCTCATCTAGTCCCAAACTAAGAAACCAGAAAGTCTGAACACTAATGATAACAAGTATGCAAATCATGAGGATGGGTTGAACAGGAATCAAGTCTTCTTTCCTCTTGCCATCGTGAAGTGGAAGCTTTTCATTTTCATCAAGGATGGCACTAGGCCAAGAGAAGGTTTAAGCAAAGAAATAGCTAAGTGAAAGAAATCTTATAGAAGAAGTTTAAGAGCCTCTGTTGAAAGAATTTTATGTGTTAAGAATGAGGCAAAATGCAAGCACTTTACTCTTTGAGCCACCCCCTGTGAAGCTTTAAGCTTTAGTTTCAGGGGTGTCTTGCATTTTCTGCCCAGGGCTAGACTCAGATCTATAGACTCCTGGATAGCTAGGATGGCAGGTGCCTGGAACTACCATTTTCCCAATATCTGCATCCCGAATAGCAGGTATTATAGGCATGAGCCACTGTTCCTGGCTGAGAAATGATATGCTTTAACAACTCCATTTGACTTGGAACTTTGCCTGGGGATTGTACATTTTTTTTTCTGTAGCTTTTTCTCTTTATTTGCCATGTCCTTTTGGGTATCTGAACATTTGGGTTTTAACTGAGGAAGCCTGTGATGGATGATGGAGGCATTCTGCTGTTTTCTTGTTTATTTTTCACCTTTCTTTATGATACAATTTATAATGATACATTCGTTTCTTCTTCCCTCCTTCCTTCCCTGCTCCCCACCCCCCACCTCCCCTCTTCTGTGTTCTGGGGTTTGGGAGCAGGGTCTCTCATGTGGTAGGTGAGAGCTCTGCCACTTCAACCATGCTTTAGTCCTATTTATTTATTTTTGCAGAGCTAGTGATTAAACCCAGGACCTTGCACATTTTAAATCAGTTTGTACTATCTTTGAGTTTCTTGTCTTTTTAATTCACTTCAAAATTCAGTTCTTGTGTGATACTTCCCTAAGTCTTTTCAGAACTGAAGGGTGGGGAAGGTGGTTTCATGATTTAAAATAGCCATTTATTACCTTAAATTCTTTGCCTAATGAGTCAGTATATAAATAAGTAGATACCCACAGGGTTTTGTTCTCTTAGTTGGTCCTTCTGATGCATTTCCATGGCTTTCTTTCAGTCGTATCCATATGGTTTTTTTCATTGTGAGTGATGAGTTTGTTTTAACAGACTAATTTTGATTCTGTTATTTGCGAACTGTCTAGCACAGTGTTTGGTGTTTAGTGAATTAAAGATATTAATCACCTTTATAAAGGCATTCCATTCTCGCCTGAAGTGTTAGGATTCTTTAGTAAATATTCACCTTCATTGTTTTGAGACAACTTCAAATTTAATACACCTTTATTTGAAGTCACGACTTGCCAAAGATAACATGGTAAGTGTTCTTGGCATTTCTTTTATTTGTGAAATGGTGGCCTCAACAACCTGTTAAGGTTCAGTGGACCAGGAGTTTCAGAAACATGGCAGCATTTGTGCCTGGCACTTAGTTGTTTGTTATATAATAGTTTAAAAGAAGCAAACCAAAGTCCAAATGTCTCTGAGCTTCTAGTTCTGTACTCTGCCATCTGTTTTTGGCTATTTTGAATGGTTTTTGACTAGCAGTTTCTTTTTATCTATAAGGAATTGTATAAATGATTTTTCACTATAGAATATGTTTTCTTCCTAAGCACAGAATGACTTCTAAAAGATAACTGTCAACTTGTGTGTGTGTGTGTGTGTGTGTGT